AACGAAAACGCAGTAGTGTGGGCGGGGCCTAAGTGTTATCCATCTGTAGTTTTCACAAAAGCCCCGGAGCTGTCAAAATGATGCAAAACTTTTGCTGACAAAATAAATGGTAATTTCTCATTCCAGGTAACATGGTGAAAGAGTAAACATTGTTTTTTTACATGTACTACTAACACTGTAACAACATGGGTTGAAAATAGGTGAACTTGCACTTTAATACACTAAAATACACTGATGAAGAAAGATCCAGTTTCTTTCTCAACTGTTCACTTAACTTTGTGTATCCGTTCAAGCACAAGTAAACGCGAAAGACGAATCAATTTGGTGTTTGAGCGCTGTCTGAAATGCTTCTCTCTCTTTTTGCGTGTAAAAGTCTATGCGCACAGATAACAGCACATAAGTCCCAATTTTTGTCTCTTCTTCTGCGTTAAAAATCGTTTGAATGTGTAAATTGGCAAGACAAAACACGTTCAAATGATAAACTTTCACTCCATGATGATTAAACTGAGGATTTAGTCCCCGAATCCCATGTGTGCCATACCATGAAATGTTGGTACACTGTCAGAAAAAAGGTACAAAAGCTGTCACTGGGGCGGTTCCTTTTCAAAAGGTACACTTTTGTACCTAAAGGGTGCATATTGGTACCATAATTGTACAAATATGCACCATGAAGGTAGCCAATATGCACCCTTTAGGTACAAAAGTGTACCTTTTGAAAAGGAACCGCCCCAGTGACAGCTTTTGTACCTTTTTTCTGACAGTGTACCAACATTTCATGGTATGGCACACATGGGATTCGGGGACTAAATCCTCAGTTTAATCATCATGGAGTGAAAGTTTATCATTTGAACGTGTTTTGTCTTGCCAATTTACACATTCAAACGATTTTTAACGCAGAAGAAGAGACGAAAATCGGGACTTATGTGCTGTTATCTGTGCGCATAGACTTTTACACGCAAAAAGAGAGAGAAGCATTTCAGACAGCGCTCAAACACCAAATTGATTCGTCTTTCGCGTTTACTTGTGCTTGAACGGATACACAAAGTTAAGTGAACAGTTGAGAAAGAAACTGGATCTTTCTTCATCAGTGTATTTTAGTGTATTAAAGTGCAAGTTCACCTATTTTCAACCCATGTTGTTACAGTGTTAGTAGTACATGTAAAAAAACAATGTTTACTCTTTCACCATGTTACCTGGAATGAGAAATTACCATTTATTTTGTCAGCAAAAGTTTTGCATCATTTTGACAGCTCCGGGGCTTTTGTGAAAACTACAGATGGATCAGTTATTAACCAAACACTTAGGCCCCGCCCACACTACTGCGTTTTCGTTTAAAAACGGAGAATTAAAACGAATACAATCTCCGTCCACACCAGCGCTTTATCTGCGTATTAGAAATGATCTCCGTCCACATTAAAACGACTGAAAACGTGGATCACTTGACCATTCACCAACACTGGGCATGCACGTGCCGGTGTAAACAGTGATTGACGAATCAGGGAAGGATACGTCATGACTGATAACGTCAGCCTCTGCGTCAGCGTTTCTGAACTCCTCCGTTTTGTCTCGTCCACACTAAAACGCCCTCCGGAGATTCAAAATGCAAAACGCAGCTGCAGCGTTTCTAAACTTCTCCGTTTAGGTCTTCGTTTTTCCCGTTTTAGTCTGGACGGGAGGTGCAAACATAGCAAAAGGTCTCCGTTTTTAAACGAAAACGCAGTAGTGTGGACAGGGCCTTACTGTAAGAGTTGACTTGGTTTTTTTTTTAAACTGAAAATGGCATCGTACTTTTTCTTCTCTTTAAAGTGGATTTTGCTAAAAATTAAACAATATGGCAACTGCCTTCTTACTTTTAGGTGACAGCATGAGCATTTGCTTCTGGGGGTTGGGCAGAAGATGCTCTCTGTTTGGACATTGTATTCGTACCAGTTTGAAATAGAGGATTTTCAAATGATCCATTGTAGTATTCTCTCTATATGTATGATTTTTGCAGCCTTTATTCACTGCCTACAATGCACTGAATCCTTCACTGGAGACCGAAAATAACTCACTCCTGTTAAACCTTTACTCTTTGAATTCCTGAACCCGGGAACAACACAAGTCAACAAAGTCATGGTCAAAAACTAAAAGTTTGCTGCGAAGTATTTCCTACTCAAGCAAGGTTATGTTTGACTCTGGTCGAGCTGAAGCGTTTTTAGTGGTGAATTACCCCTTTGTTTGCCACTAGATATAATTACCTTACATCTATGTTGATGTGTAAATCCAATTATATTGTTTTCACTCAATGCAGAACATACAGAGGAAGGATCTATTCCAAGCTGGGTCACTTTGAGAAGTCTATCGAGGACTTTTCTCTGGCTGTGCACTGGGATCCCAGTGATTGGTTGGCGTTTTACCACAGAGGCTGTCTGCTGAGGAAGATAATGCCTGTTGAGGCCTTAAGAGATCTCAGTACATCTGGTAATGCACTTGCTTGTTATATACTACATGAAAATGTTCACAGTTCTTTCACAGTTTCTCTATATAAAGATACTGTACCAACATTTTGAGAGCCTTGATGCAAACTGTTACCCATGGGCATTTTTAAGTTAAGTTCTGGCACTTTATGTTGAGAATACAGCAGGAAAGGCAATTTTACAAATGGTTTGTTCAACACTTAATTTAAATTTGAAATTTACACATTTTTTCCAGGAAGCCCATAGGAAAGAAAATCCATTTCTTTAATATCTCGGTTTCTTCTAAACAGCTCAGTTTTTCTCAGTAATTTAGATATGTGTCCCTTCTGGAGCCGAACAACAAAATATCTCAGGCTGTGCTCAGATTTGGCATGATTTGAAGTTTCCATTGAAAAGTCAACATTTCAAAATGAATATACACATTTCACACTTAAATTATCTGAACTATGCCATCCAGATCTATTTTATATTTCTATCTATTATAACTCAAACTGTATGTCAAAAAAAAAAAAAAAAAAAACATTTGGGAAACAACAGACAAAGCTGATAATGTCCAAATTTGGGCAGCCGGATGTTCATAGTCTCATATACATGCAGATTTCTGAATGACCCATTTTTTTGTTTTTAGCCTAGATTTCATAAATAGTCTGGGGAGGGAAATCCTGTTTTCTGTGATATGTCTTTGATCTAAATCTTTAAATGAAGACTTTCTACACACAATTAAACACAATCAATTGGGCCATTCTTTTAACATCTCATCACAAACAGCTTCATCTGTTGAAGCAGTCATATGAGGATGTTGATATCACTACTCAACCAATTAGAGCCATGTATTTTGCAACTGTAATTTGCTTCTTTGATCTCTGAAGCCTGCAGGAATATTTTGTCCGTGTTGTCTCCTGCAAACTGAACAGCTTCATGAAGTGAAGTGTTCCACACTGCCTACCTAAGCACTTTGTGCAGTGTAACAGGATCGGATCGTAGGCGTGAGTAGAGTTTCGGCACTGAGCCTGTTTTTGCGACACATGGCATTCAGAAAATGCACTTTAAGCCAATTTATCAACACGATCTTCTGCAGTATATGAAGCAGTATAAAATAGCAAACCAGTTGTCAGGCTTGATGCAAGTTCCACATGTTGACAAACTAGCAGCACGTTGGATTCCATTCCATGTGGATTAATGACCATTTTGAAGTACAGTAAATGTAAATTTCAATGTTAATCAAGCTTGTAATCTCAAAGAGAAACTCCCAATAACTATAGACCCTTTTTCAGTTGGTAAACATGGTGACGTTTTTTTTTGTGGGCGGAGCTTAGGTGGAGGCAGAACGATCCCTCTGGCTGCTTCACTAACGCTAGTTAGCAAGTATTGTTAGCTTGTTTTTTAATAATGACTGGGGAAAATCCGATTTTATCTTAATGTGTAAGGTCACTCAGTGTCCAGGACCGTGATTGTTATTTCCAAAAGTTATTTTTAACGGACGGAATCAGATTGGCCGACCCGTAGCCGCCTACACGCTCACTCATGGACGATCTGACAGGATTAACGTTACTTTACCTCGGTTGAGTGGCCTGACTTCTACACCTACCTTATAGAGAAACCGATCGTAAAGAGAAACTGAGGGCATATATGTAAATCTTTAGATGCCTATATGTTCCTGTACAAGACTCGTGTGTACGATCCGCAGTTCTGCCGAGACGACGACAATGTAAAGAGTGACATTACGGTGCGATTTTAATGATGATAATATTTTCTAGAAATAAAAATTCTAGATACAGCATATTCATTTTTCATCAATTCTTGCACCAAACAACACAACAAGATGACATTTAATAATAGTAATAATAATTTAGGCTCCTTATTATGTAGCCAAATCTGGGCTGGTTTGTATTGGCCGCCTCCAGTTTTCACTTTGTTTTGCCTCCAGCTAGCGCCGTGACGTAACTGTGACGTCGGCGCAAAAGGGGTTTATATTGCATTTTATTGCAGTTATTAAAAGAAATACTCAAAACAGCAATCCATGAATCACTTTATTTTGTGTATAGAGCAGCGCAGTCTCATCCCAAGACGTCATATAACTGACGTCGTGGGACGTCTTTTGACCATACGTCAACATCTGCCTTTTTAGGGTACCCTTAAACGTCAGTTACATGACGTTATCGGATCCTAACCCTACCCCAGACCTAAACCTACCCCGTCAACCTAACTGACGTTAATTGTAAAGCGTCAGTTGTATGACAGCCCGGGATCGTCATGTAACCGACGTTTAAGGGTACCCTAAAAAGGCGGATGTTGACGTATCGTCAAAAGACGTCCCAAGACGTCAGTTATATGAGGTCTTGGGATGAGACTGTGTTATATAGAGCCATGCACCACTGTATTACAATATTGGCAGACACTTAAGATAATGAAAGTGGTACATTTGAGATCCTCAGAGACCATATGCCTTCAGATATATATGTCAGAACTTTGTGCTGAGAAGTCAGAAAAAAGCCAGATCATCTCATTAGCAATGTTTTATCTGTATATGTGTATGTGTCATAGTTCTCATCAATGACAGTGCAGAAAACCTGGGCGCGTTCCTACACCGCGGTCTGGTCTACACGACGCTTCGGCACTGGCGGCAGGCTATGGCTGACTTTGAAGTCGTGATCAAACTTGACAGGTGACGTCCCAGCCGCCGCCGCTCTGTGACGAAAATACTTTCATTTTCTTTTGTCCAACAAGTGCACCAAAGGCAGGCCTTAGTTAGGGCCGATGTTGTGACGACCCTATTGCAATTGCTCTGTTTATTGAGGATAAGTTTACTGAAGCTTGAAACTCACTTTTTAAAAGATTGTTTCTTTGTAAAAATTGACAGTCTCTGACCAGCTGTGAGTTAAGCTAAAATCCATTAAATTGTATCCGAGTCATCATCTCTCCTCTCTGTGATCGTCACAGGACTGCAGCTGTTGCTCATGTCAGTTTGGGACTGATCTGCATGCTGAAGATGGACCGAAATAATGAGGCCATTAAAAGGTTCAGTAATGCTTTGAAAGCAGACCCCACCCATGTAAAAGCCTACATATGCCGGGCCAGAGCCTATTACAATGTAAGGGGATTATAGTTGTGGTTATAGCCCTAATAACTTTGGTGTGTTTGGTCCTTTGTATATGAGTGATAAGTCAAATCATGCGGCTTGTTTAGCAGAGGGGTGTCTAAACAACTACAGTGATGATTTAAATATATGATCATAAATATATAATGTATGATAAATACAGTGTGTGTGTGTGTGTGTGTGAGATCATTTTTCAAAAGCCATTTTAAAAAGCATTTGGCTTTTATTTATCATTGCTTTTCCCTTGGTCATTTATCCACAGATTTGAACTGATTTCTTTATTTTTAATTTTCAATTTAATAGTACAATAGCTGATTCTTATCTTTAAGTGGCCCTTCTAGTGCATAATAGTAATTTGGGATTATGAATATTTTAATGTAGATTTTCATTTACTAAATTAAACTAGTGAACTTGTATTTTTCACAGGTGAATAATCTGAGTAGAGCAGTGAAGGATTTGACTCGAGCCATACATATGAAGCCAGACGCTTATGATCTGCACATCATGAGGTTATTTGGACATACAGGTTGTTTGGTCAACTTTGCATGTCCTTGATTCTTGTATTATTTCTCTTGAGTTTGCATGGTTCTTAGGAGATTAAAAATTGTTTTTATTGGTGAATATTGGTGATATAGAAAAAAAGTTGTTTGTTTCTTATTTTAGAGGGAAGTACTTGTATGAAATGAAGAAAATTGACATGGCTAGCCTCTCCATACGGTATGCAGAAGAAATGAAAACAGGTAAGGATCATATAACGTTAATATAACTTTAAGGAAAATTGCAAGCATACGTTTAGTTCTGGAATGATCTAAGCTCTTATCACATGCTATCGTTTAAAGGGGTCATGACTTGAGAAAACAAAATTTGCCTTGATGTTTTGACATATACTGTACTTTAAGAGGACTTTGTATCAGTAAAACATCATGCAAGTTTCATAGATTAAATCTGCCTTCTCATTATATACAAAGCACGTATTTCACCAAGCCCGAAAATTGCCTCATTTGTATGTTGTGGGATGTTTGTCACACTTTAGTTTGGGGAAACAAATCTTCACTATTAAGTTTTGCCTCAATAAACTCCTAATTTACTTCTTATTAATAGTTGTAGTAATAACAGTAATGTTGTAGTGGTTAAGTTTAGGTATCGGTTAGGATTAAGGGATGTAGAATACAGGGTAACACTTTAGAATACGGTTCCTTCGTTAATGAATAACTACACAAGAACTAATGAGTAACACAATATTAACAATCTAGTAACTATTATTAACTAACAAGAAACTCTGACTAACGAACTAGTAAGTAATATATTAGCGCACAGACGAAAGTGGTAGTTCACTATTAAGTAATCAATAACTACTATTTTTTAATACCTCCCAGAGAACTACTGAAAAAGTTTATTAACAATCTAATAACTACTATTAACTAAAAGAAACTCTTATTAACGAATTAGTAAGTAATAGCTCACAGATGAAAGTGTTACTAGATACTTCTGTGGGAATTACTAATTATTTGGATTCGTATTATAAAGTAAAGATCATTGGAACTAACTAGTAATTACTCAAGTGTTACTAAAGACATTTTCTAAAAGTTACTAAAGTTCACCAAAAAATCTCAAACATTTGCACAAATCATGACTAGATCATGTAGTAACACTTGAGTAATTACTAGTTAGTTCCAATGATCTTCACTTTATAATACGGATCCAAATAATTAGTAATTCCCACAGAATCTAGTAACAGTTTCATCTGTGAGCTATTACTTACTAATTCGTTAATAAGAGTTTCTTTTAGTTAATAGTAGTTACTAGATTATTAATAAACTTTTTCAGTAGTTCTCTGGGAAGTATTAAAAAAATAGTAGTTATTGATTACTTAATAGTGAACTACCACTTTCATCTGTGCTCTATTACTTACTAGTTTGTTAATCAGAGTTTCTTGTTAGTTAATAATAGTTACTAGATTGTTAATATTGTGTTACTCATTAGTTCTTGTGTAGTTATTCATTAACGAAGGAACCGTATTCTAAAGTGTTACCCATAATAATCACTCCAATAATGATCCAATCAACATTTTGGTGGCCGAGCAGTCTATACAAACCTGAAGGAATATTAAAGTAATAAACAATCCATGTAATGAGCACTTTAATGAGCTTCATTAAATCTGGTTAGTCCACCTGGCTCAATTGAAGGTGAAATAAACCTAGCAGGGAAATGTGGTTTATGTTGCCATTACAACAACTAGACCAAGCTGTAAACATATCCTCCTTTCCGTCACAGCTCTGGGTTTATCACCGGTCCAGCAAGCTGCCATCCAATTGTTCCTGGGGAATGATGCCAATGCCATCGTCTGTCTCGAGGAAGCGGTCGATACATGCCCTTCTCCTCCACAACTCATTCTTCTCGGGAGAGCGTTGATAAGGGAACACAGGTTCACAGTGAGTCCGAGACCCATGATGCAGGGTGTATCTGAGTCATGCTCTGTCTGGCAGAACAAAGCCAGCAAAACACCAAACAAACTTCTCTAAAGACACCAACACACACAAGTGATTATTAGTAATACTTTTTCAGCACTTTTAGAAGTACACTAAAGTGATAAACTAGAGGATGTGCCTTACTGCTATTTTTGCAGTTATATACATTACTGTTCAAACTTTTTTCAGTAGTTACATTTTTTTTGTGTGTTTTTGAAAGAAATCTCTTATGCTCAGCAAGCTGTATTTATTTGATCAGAAATATTATAAAACAGCAAAATTGTTAAAAACCATTGCAATTTATTAGCCTGGGTGCCAGCCGAACTTAGCCCCGCCCACAACATTTGAGGATGGGAAGTTTGGTCTGGACTTGATACGTTGAGAAGCAAGTATTCCCGAACCAAAGCTGTTCGGACCAATCAAATTGTCAGGGCAGGCTTTATACATTGATGGACAGATGATCAACCATAACGTAATCATCCACGTCACCAAAGAGCACTTGTGTTGAATTTGTTTACAACAAAGAATGGCTGCTGCTGGAGAATTTAGATGTGCAGATTCTGTTATAGAAGATGTAGACAGCGCATTCATTTTAAAAGAGGAACAGAGAACTACGTTCAAGGCATTTGTTGATCGGAAAGATGTTTTATCATCCTTCCTACGGGATTCGGTCTATCCAATTCAGTGCATTTTTTTTCATTTCGCTCATAATCATAGCCCAATGGAGCAGTATCTGACTCACATTCTGACTAGAATCTGAGTATGACAACGTCAGGCTAACAATTGATAGGGGCTATATGTAGAATTCAGAAACCCATGTTATTAGCGACACCGGTGGCCGTTAAGTGAACTGCAGCCAAATGAGTGCACGTCATTGAAAGTTATTTTTCATTCTTTGCTTAGAAGTAAAGACAAGTTGAAAATACCCTTGAAGCGATATGCTTTTAACGAACATCCAGGCCCTGTCCACGCTGCTGAGAGTGACATTTAGATGAATATGTAATATGTGCTGTGCGCTTTCCTCTCAGTTAAAGCAATAAGCCCCTAGAGACCATGGTTTATTGTGAATTTAGATCAGCAAAGAAGCATTAAAAGCCCCGTAGTTGTAAACCACGGCCTCACAGGCATTATTGCTTTTATAAAATGGTTAGTCCATAAAAACTTTTATTTTATGGTTTATGTCACAGGTTTATGTTTGTAGAGTAATTTATAATGGCTTCGAATGTGGCTTAACCAGTCAGAATCAAGGACTGGAACCATCTGTTTTATAAAACAAAATAAACTCAACAAAAATGACAGCAGTTAAGAAAGCATGTGATCATAGCGATGTGGTTATTTGTATACAACCTCTGCAATTCACTGGCATCATGGCTACTTTTGAGGTAATTCAAATAACACTGTTATGATAGGTTGATTATGAAGTATATTTTAGACTATAGACTATACAGTCAGGTGAAAAAGAAAGGACGCCATTTTGAATTGTATGGTTTTATGTATCTGAACATAATAAAAAAAAATCATCTGGTCCATGGCAGGATGAACAACAACATATTTAACCATGTCATTATTTATTTAACAAAAACTAGGCCAAAATATGTGTGACAAACTAAATATACCCTTACTGCTTCTGTAGGAATTAAGAGTGTAAGTAGCATTTAGGTATTGCTAATCAAATGCGTGATCTCCTCTATAAAAGCAGAAGTTTTGGCAGTTTCTGGTCTGGAGCATTCAGGTGCGTTTTAACACAATGCCAAGGAAGACATGATCTTAGAGAAGCAATTGTTGATGCCATCAATCTGAGAAGGGTTACACTGTCTTTTCCAAACAATTTGAAGTCCATTATTCTACAGTAAGGAATATCATTCACAAGTGTAAAACATTCAAGACATTTGGCAATCTTCCCAGGAGTAGACGTCCCAGCAAATTCCCCCCAAGGTCAGACTATGCAATGCAATGCAAAGTTAGGCGAAAACTAAACACAGCATATCAGCACAAAGACCTTGTATCAACTGTTCATCATGCTGATGGAGGTGTGATGATTTTTGGCTTGTTTTTAAGCCACAGGACCTGGGCACCTTGCAGTCATTGAGTTGACCATGAACTTCTCTGTACAATAAAGTATTTTAGAGTCAAACGTGAGGCCTTATCTCCTAAATCTAAAGCTTGGCGAAATTGGGACATGCAACAGGACAATGATCCCAAGCACACCAGCAAATCTACAACAGAATGGCTGAAGAAGAAAAGAATCAAGATGTTGCACTGGCCCAGTCAAAGTCCAGACCTTAACCCGACTGAATGAGAGAGCTCTGCATAAACAAATGCCCACAAACCTCAATGAATTGAAGCAAACTTGTAACTTGTGACCAAAATTCCCTCAGAATGATGCAAAAGACTGATACGGTCATAAAGAAAACGATTTCCTCAACTTAGCTAAAAGCAATTGAATCATAGGGTGTATTTAGTTTGTTTCCCATGACTTTTCAATTTTGTCTTAATTTTGGTTAAATAAATAATGACACAATGTAATATGTAACTTGTTGTTGTTCATCTGAGGTTGTATTTACCTAACTTTAAGACCTGCTAAAGATGATTTTTATTATGTTTTCTTCTGATACGTTAAATCAGAAAATTCTAAAGGGCGTCCTTTCTTTTTCACACGACTGTAGATCTGGCTATGTGAGACTAGTTTGAATTAATCCCTTTTCTTTGTATGACACATTGACATTACAGTACAAAATATTTTGGCATTATCCTAAACATTGTTTAGCCATTAATATCATGTGTCATAGAACATGTGTTCCATATGAAAGAGGCTCTCTGGAGGGCGCATAACCATTACATCCTTTGATTTTTATGTGAATGACTCTTCCGGGAAATTCAAGGTCTCGTTATTTAAGTTCCATTACAAGCTGTTTACACATTGACAATGAATAAAGCAATTAATTCTTGAATATAGCCCTTTTAAAATAGCTGTTTTCTATTTGAATATGTTGTAAATTTTAATTTATTCCCGTGATGGCAATGCCAAGGTCATTGGTTGGATTCCATTGAAATGCATGAAATTTTAAAATTTATACCATGAATGCAATGTACGTCGCTTTGTTTAAAAGCATTTGCCAACTGAAAAAATCAGTATTATCTTTCAGTGTTCTCTAACTTTTGTTTGTCTATTTTATCTATCAATGCTGAAAGTTTACCAGGGTTTATATTCTGTCATACACAGGAAGCAGTGGACAGTTTCAGAAAGGCCCTGTCATGTCTGGGTACTAATACAACTAAACTCAAAACTGCTCAAGAGGCTGAGGAGGTCTTTTATCTTATCGGCGTATGCTACATGACACAAATGCTTTCATTACAGGTAATAAAATGAACAGTAAAGTCAACATTAACCCAATTTACTCTATTCGCTTTCTGAAAGAAGTAGTTCACTTTTAAAAAAACTTTTGCAGATAATTTACTCACCCCCATGTCATCCAAGATGTCCATGTCTTTCTTTCTTCAGTTGAAAAGAAATTAAATAATTCCAGGATTTTCTCCATATAATGGACTTCATTGGGAACCAAACGGTTCAAGGTCCAAATGAGACTTTCAATGCAGCTTCAAAGGGCTTTAATGGACGCCAGATAATGAATAAGGGTCTTATCTTGCAAAACTATCGGTCATTTAAAAAAAAAAAAGTTTAAGTTTTATAAGCACAAATGCTTGCATTGCTCTGTTCTGTGATGAGCGTGACTCTTCTGTTCAAACTCGTTCATCGAAATGAACAAATCTTTTTTCGAGTCATGACTAAGGATAAGATCCTTATTCATCGTCTGGTGTTGTTTAAAACCCTTTGAAGCTGCACTGAAACTCTCATTTGGACCTTGAACCGTTTGGTTCCCATTGAAGTCCATTATATGGAGAAAATCCTGGAATGTTTTCATCAAAAACCTTAATTTCTTTTTGACTGAAGAAAGAAAGACGTGGACATCTTGGATGACATGGGGGTGAGTAAATTATCAGCAAAAGTTTTTTCAAAAGTGAAATACTCCTTTAATGCATGTTTCTGAGTAATATTATGGGTGATTCACATAAAAAAGGATAACAGAGAAATAGTATTTTTATCATTCTAAAGATGTGATAGTTAAAAACTAAACAGATAGTAACACAACCGTATATTACTTTTTTTAATTTAGAAGTGTGAAGACTCTCTCCTCCTTAAAGCTTTAGATGCTTTTAACAGCACTCTGAGCATGAACCCAGACCATGCCGAGGCTCTCCATCAGAGAGGCCTGTGCCGCGTGTATCTACAAGACTCCACAGGTGTTCAGGACTTTAACAGAGCACTCCAAATCGACCCTAACCTCTATCAGGTACACCTTGATTCAAGCTCAATGCCTGGTCTGTCTGAACTAATATTATTCGGTGCATCATCATATTCCAATGTTCAGATTTAAAACGTGTTTTTCTTTTTTTCTTTTTCAAGGTGCATCTAAGCCGAGCTGCCCTTTATGGGTCTGAAAGACGATATGCAAAGGCTGTACTCGACTGTAGTGAAGCTATCAGGATCCAGCCCAAGTGTGTCAGAGCATACCTGTATAAAGGAGCTCTTAAATTCTATTTGAAAGTTAGTAAAAATAGCTTAATTATCTCTCACTTGAGGCTGATGCTCTCTGTGATATTTGAGAGAAATGTGGTCATCTTGTTTTAGGCATACAAGAGTGCAGTGGAGGATCTGACAATGGCGATCTATATCGACAGCACCTGCTCATTTGCTTTCTACAACCGTGCAATATGTTTTCAGGAACTGCGGGATTATGAGCTGGTGACGTTGTTTCTTTTCATCCGCTTTTTTTAAATCAGCAATGTATGCAGGATCATATATACCGCAACGTATACAAACGCAGGATGTCTTTTCATGACAATTGCACTTCTGCATTTGCATTTAAATGCATATTTGTTCTCTCCCTCCGCATTATTTCTCTTTAATCTTCCAGGCTCTCAGAGACTACAGCATTACGCTTCTTTTGGACTGTAAGACGGAGCTCGAGCTCAAAGTGTTGATAAACCGTGGCCTTCTCTATGTGGAGCTAAATGACTTTAGCAGTGCCCTTCAGGTAGGCCAGTTTTATAAAGGAAAAGTAAAAAGCATTGATTGCATCAGGCAGCTCTGTCTCAATAATCTGTTCTTCTCAAGGATTGTGACAGCATAGTCAATGAATCATATGTGTGAGTGAGGTTTTTCTTATTTCTGTATTTCTTTTCAAAGCCAGCATGAAATACCATTTGCAACACATTTTAATATCCATAAATTGACATGTTTTAAAATGAAACAGGGTATTTATGATTTTGTACACTTTAATAATGGTATCATAGAAGCATTATTTTTAATAATCGAATTATTAGTATTATGTTTTTGTGTGTGAATTTTTTTTAGTAAAAATGATTGTGTTTTGTTGTAGGATTTTAATGCAGCAGCAAAGAACCGACCAGGGGATGTAATAATTCACCAAGCACTAGGAGTCATTCACCACAGGTGTGCATTAATTTTTTGTTATTTTTGTATGTGATTGATCATAGTCACAGTGCTAAATTCCCAAGCTTAAATTGAGAACCCTTTTCAATTTTTTTATTTTTTATTTTTGTTTATTTATTACAAGGACAGTGCATATTAACATGACAAGTCAAAATATGCCAGAGTTAGCCAAAAGGCTAGTTTTCATCTGCAGTCCTGGGCCAGATGTACAATAGGCAACCTAAAAATACAATATACATACAACAATTATAATTAAAACATAACAAACCAAAACAACTACAACAAAAAACAAAAAAAAAACAATAGAATAAAAAAAATCAATGTTGACATATTTGCATGCTAAAAAGCCACATTTTAAAAGAAGAACGAAATTCATTATAACTATTTAATTCTCTAACAGACGTTGGGATGTCATTCCATTCTTTTGAGGCTTTAATAGAGAAGGCAGATTGACTAAAAGCAGTTTTCCTAAAATTAATAACACAGTCCCTTCTAAGGGAACCTCTAGTGAGACGACTATTATCCGACCTTAAACTCACAAACTCACTAAGAGGTGGTGGGGCCAGGCCATTTAGAATTTTATAAACTAAACAGCCATTTGAAAACTTAACAAAGTTTTCCCAACTCAACAAATTATATTTTGATAGAATTTTACAATGATGAAAAAGATGTGGTTTCTTATCAAAACATTTTAGCGTTTGTTTATACAGAGATTGTATTGGTAGCAAGGCGGAGTGGTTGGCCTGAGACCACGTAGTGAGACAATAATTCATATGTGAAAAAATCATAGAGCGCATAAACATTTTGGCAGTCAGATCATAATATCTGCTCCCCCACAGCATGCTGAACTGAAATACAAAATACACAATACACTTTAAAATACAAAAGAAATCAAGGCTTTAGCCCTCTGAGACACCAACATGGCAGTTCATGTGGTTTTCTTCACTGAGAACCAACAATTCACTGAATTTAGATTAGTTTTCATTCTGCTCTTTATAGTGAAATGTTTTATACGCCACAGTAAAGAGGTGATTTATATAATACCGATCTGTATGTCGTCGTGTTGTGGAAAATCAAATCTTTGAAGATTTTAAAATGACGTTTAATGTAAAGTTGCAAGTATTCTAAGAGGGGGGAAAATGGTCATGTAAAACTGAATGATGGCTGCTTTTGACACAAGAAGCATGGAATATTGTAGTACATGAGTTCAAGGGAAATATTAATTACAACTCATTATTATAATTATAAATATTTAGATCAGTTACCTTAACTTGTATGTAACTTGATGTAGCAGAATTAATACTCAGTCAATTGGCCTAACTTGTTCGTCCAGTGAACACTTTTAATTAAAGTATTAATCATCTGTCAACTCGGATTGAGTTTTTTTTTCGTGGCCACAGAAAAATAACCCTTCTTACCGGGTATGTTACTACAGAGCCTGTAGCTGTGATCGCATTGTTAAAGGGACTTTGTTTTGCAAGTAGGGACCACAGAATCAACACTCACATGTATATGCATTGTGCACATACGTTTACTGTCATAAACGTGACATAACACCTGTCATGAACATAAAGGAGTCTTTATGAATGTTTATGACTGTTGTCATTAAGTGTCATTCGGTAAATTATGACACTTTTAATGTAAAGTTGACATTGTTTAAAATGTCTTGATTATGACAACTTGAGATTAACAAAGACAGAAATGTCTTTGTTATGACAACTTGAAATTAACCAAGAAATTATAACTAGTCCAACATGTTCCACTTTACTTAAGGTAAAGGAAAATATTAATGACACTGTTGTTAAAGCATTTGACAGTGTAATAACACTTAATTACATCTTTATAACTAGTACAATGTGTTCCACTTTACTTGAGGACAAGTAAAATATTCATGACAGAGTTATAATGGTGTCATAACAACCAAAGTTAAAACCAACCATAACATATGACAGGGACAGGGTAATGTAATGTTAACACAAAGCTAAATAACTTCTTTAAGTTTGATAATTAGACCTGTTATGACATATTTGTGACAGGTTGACAGGTTATAATTTCTTGGTTAATGTCAAGTTGTCATAACAAAGACATTTTAAACAAAGTCAACTTTTCATTAAAAGTGTAAGTAATTTACCGAATGACACTTAATGACAACAGTCATAAACATTCATAAAGACTCCTTCATGTTCATGACAGGTGTTATGTCATGTTTATGACAGTGTCATGTCAGTCTTATGCACACCCCTTCAAATACAGTGTTACCAATACCGGTTTCTCCCACAGGATTTTGGGAAATCTGTGGTGAGTGCACCTCTGTCCCTCTGAAAATTTGGTGCTTTTTAATGTTAAATTCATCAATCTGGTGTACTTTAAGAGTTCAAAATAAAGAGCTCCAACCCATATTCAGTGTGCAAACTGAACAAAGAAAAACTCAAAACTCATTTAGCTGCTGTGATATAGTGTCTGCCCACATTGCACTGCTACATAATAGTTATAATATTAATCCCATGGTAGTAATAGCCAAATGTTGTAAAACAAATGCACTGAAAAAGTTACTACTTAGTTTACTAATTTCTATTCTTGAAAGAGATAACCATATAATCTGTTATTTTGACGGAAACGGCATCAAGCTTTTATTTTGTTGAAAAACATGGTTTACAAACTCGTCTCATTACAATTCTAAAAATGCGTAATCATCAAATATGCAGATGTGGAAATAATGTGTAACTGGGTAGTTCTACTTAACACAGTTCTCGGCACTCACTTCTTCTCTTCTTACTCACTATCCTCATCAGCGACTTGAAGGGCCTTTGAATTCTCCATCGCTCTGACTATTTTGACAGATACACACTGACTGCTCGCTCACTCAGAGCTCAAAGGGTGAGCGTTTAAAGTGTGTGATTGGACCAGCCCAGTGTCAATCAAGAAAATAACCAATGGGCCACTGATCTACGCGTTTCATGTGCCGGTCTGTGAGTAAAAAAAACAATACGCTGACTTTTTTGTCCAATGCATTACACCAGCACAAATATCCCAGCACCGCCAATTAAACAAAACTAAATGCAATGGGCCTCGGATGTACGAGTTTTATGGTGCGTTCAGACAAAAAAATAAGTATTAGATGTATCGGCCCACAAAGCACGCCAGCCCACCGGGAAAATGCCCAGTATGCCCGATGGCCAGTCCAAATTACGCATACACTCTAAAAAATGCTGGGTTGTTTTAACCCAATTTTGGGTAAACTATGGACAAACCCAGCCATTGGGTTAAAAATGTAATTTAAAAATGTAACCCAATGGCTGGGTTTGTCCATATTTTACCCAAAATTGGGTTAAAACAACCCAGCATTTTTTAGAGTGTACATAGGTAAAATGTAAAGTGAAAGTTCATTGAATGAAACTGAAACAGGGGAATGACGCTATGGATCCATAAGATTCAGTTAACCACCTGAACAGAAGCATCAGCACCTAGGTAATAAACTGTACTTAACCTCTGTTTAGTTAGTTAAAGGTAACGACGTTGAACGAGCATCCGGATGCAGTCTCAGATGAAACTCTTGATGGTTCAATTGTTCAATAGTAGAGAATTTTATTTTAAATATATTATAAAATGTAATTTATTAAAGTTGAATTTTAAGCATAATTTCTCCAGTCTTCAGTGTCACATGATTTTCTGCTCAAGAAACATTTCATTTTATTATCAATGTTGAAAACAGTTGAGCTGCTTTTTACAAACCCAAACTGTTGAACTGTTGAATGCGACCCCTTTATTGTTAAATCAAAATAACTTTTCAGAGGAGATTATTTGTGTTTGTCTTCTCATTTGCGTGAGTGTGAGTAGAAGAACACTCTAAGGACTACCACATTTATTGCTGTCCTGAAATCTCGTATGACATTTATGAATATTTATTGATGCTCTCCGTGAACTGTTCCAGTTATCGTGCAGATCTGCTTTTAAATGGTGAATTCAGAGCATATCTATTATTTTTATTGATCAACACCCAAAAATTACTGTGCTTCCAGATTGCATTTAGACCTACTTCTATCAAATTAACAGCCTATGACAGACAGGACATTTCATCTCTGTTCAGGGACTATAAAATGTAAAATATCTTACTTACTAGTTCAGTGACAAGACAAAATATTTCTCTCTGACCTGTCATTTATTTTAAAAAAAAAAAAGAAAGGTTTTCAAATCCATAGGAGGCGACATTTGCACATTTTCATTGACTGAAAAGAGCGCTCTCTGATAAATGGCTCTTCACAAGATCAATACAGAAAAGCGGCAAGTGCAGGTTGGGGATTTTTTTTATCTTTTAAGCTGTGACTTCTGGGTGACTTCAATGCTTATAATAGGAATGGTGAACAGCTTGTTTGAAAACGTATGCAAGCCTTTCGAAGCTACAACCCCAAATCAGAAAAAGTTGGGACATTTTGTAAAATACAATAAAATCAAGAATCTTTGATTTGTTTAACCTTTTATAGGTTGACAAAAGTACAAATAAACATTTTCCAATGTTTTCACTGACCAACATAATTGTATTTTGTAAATATGAACAAATTTTGATTTTGATGGCTGCAACACACCGCCAAAAAGTTGGGACAAAGACCAAATGAAAGTGAAAAGATTATCCAAATTAGATTATCCAACTATTTTGAAACAGTCCACAATGAGCAGTTGAATTGGTAATAGTTGAGGGTATCTTGTTTGGTTTGGGTGTAAAAGTCCCTCTCAGTCTTTTTAAGCAAAGATGGGTCATGGCTCATCACTTTGTGCCAAATATCTTGAGAGAATTGTCAAACAATTAAAAATCACATTTCTCAATGCAAGATTGCAAAGCATTTATGCCTTGCATCATCTTCCATTCATAATACTGTCACAAGATTCAGGTAATCCAGAGGAATCTCAGTCTGTGTTGGGTAAGGCAGTAGACCTCTGTTGAATGTGCATGACCTTTGAGCCCTCAGATAGTATTGCACAAGATACCGTCATGCTGCTCTGTCAAATACAGCCACTTGTGCTCAGGAGTAATTTGGAAAACCATTTTCACTGAACACAGTGTTGCGCTGCATCAAGAAATTCCACTTGAATCTCTGTTACATAAGGAGAAAGCTTTACATCATTTCTATGTGGAGATACTGGCAAGTTCTCTGGACCAAAGCTCATCTCAGATGGTCTAGATTAGAAGAAAGTGGAAATGTCTGCTGTGGTCAGATGAATCCATGTTTCAGCTTGTTTTTGGGAGAAAATGGAATCGAGTTCTCAGTCCCATGAGCCATAAACTGCCATCAAGATGACATCTTTCCATGGGACGCAAGACAATGCCAGGCCTCATTCTGCACGTGCTACAACTGAGTGGTTTCTAGACACTCTGCACCATAGAAGGGATGTGCTTGACTCTTTATTGCAGTCCACATATGTATGTTATGGAAAATGTATGACCCATCATGAAAAGAAGAATCAGGCAATGATGACCACAGACTGTTGAGTGGCTGTCTTGTATCAGACAAGATTTGCTATTCCACTAGCAAAACTCCAACAATTAGTATCCTCAACTCCCAAATGGTTAAAAAGTGTAATTAAAATGAAAGGTGATGTGACATAGTGATGTACCTGTCTCTGTCCCAACTTTTTTGGGGTGTGTTGCAGCCATCAAAATCAAAATTCGTTCATATTTACAAAAAACAATTATGTTAGTCAGTGAAAACATCGGAAAACATTTCTTTATACTTTTGTCAGTTTAAAAAAAAATGTTAAAAAGAATGAACAAATCACAGATTCTTGATTTTATTGCATTTTACAAAATGTCCCAACTTTTTCTGATTTGGGGTTGCACTCTTAGAAGAAAATGTTCTATATAGAACCTTAAAAGGTTCTACCAGCGCTACGAATTTGGAACCCCTAAAAGGTTCTATACAGAACCCTTTGTTAGGGTTCAATAATAGGAACACTTTAGGGTTCTTTGTAACCAGGAAAAAGGTTCTATATGGAACCTTTTGGGTTCATTCATTATCATTTGTTTTGTCCTTTCCGGATTAAAAATGTCATATTATTGACAAACATCAAGACCCTAAAATGTATTTATGAATGCATGTGAATGATCACAAAATTCAAGATATGGGGGTTAGAAAATGTATATATTTATATCATTTTATGTAGTTAATCAACATTACACGAAGAATGCCATTTCAGTTCTTCTCCTCCAAAAATCAGCATGATTAAAATGTGATATTAAGTTACTACAACAGTTTAATAAACAATAATTTAATTACAACTACAAAATGTTGCATGATAATGTAATATATGAATGAATAATAGCCCATAAAGAACCTTTGTGCCAAAAGGGTTCTTTCTTGTCATTATATAAAAGGTTATTTGGAGTTGAGTAAAGAATCCTATGCTTCATAAAACCCCAATGAACCCTTTTTTCTAAGAGTGTGCATTAGAGAGGTCGTTTTTACAGACTGTTCAAGGCAAAGTTCACAATTAAACAGACAACTATTAATGTGCAAACAGAATTAGGACACATCATTAAGTGAAATAATCTGCTTCCTTTCTCTGTTTTCAAGGCTCGGCCAGTTACACGAAGCTGTACAGGCTTATAGCAAAGCTATAAGACTTGATCCCTTCTTGCAGGATTCTCATGTGGGCAGAGGCAAAGTTTTCATGGATTATGGGGACAATAACGGCAGGAAAAAAGCCCAAAAGGACTTCCTCTCAGCCCTGCATCTCAATCCACTCTGCTTGAGTGCCCGCATTTGCCTGGCATACAACTTGCAGGTAGTTTAAAAATAATTGCCTTGCTGCTTTTTATTTCTCACAGGTTGATCTTTCATAGCTTTACTGACTTAGAGAAGTTCCCAACTGTTTCATTTAAGCATCTGTTTTATTCATGCTTCTAAAACAAATTAAAAAAACTATGAAAATGACATGGATAGCAGAGCTCTGATAATTTGCTCTTGGGAGAATCTGAGATCACTGGATTTTGAATGTAGACTTATATTTTGACAAATCTGACCACAGTTTTAGTCCCGTTTGAATCTTTAGAGGAAACAAGATTTATTTTTCCCATCTGGAGAAACATTCTAGAAGCAAGAGATTTAAGCAGTCTCCTTTTAACCTCATTGATATCTATGTGACACAACTGAGACAGTAGACATAAAACATTATGTATACATTTATGGGCAACATAAAACATTTGCATGGTACTGCTAATGCATTATAAATAACATACGTTGCAGTTGAATTTAGTAGTGTGCAAAGATCAGGCATTAGGCAAGGCAAGGCAAGTTTATTTATATAGCACATTTCATACACTATGGCAATTCAAAGTGCTTTACATACAAAGGAATAAAAATTATCACAAAATAAAAGCAAAGAAAATTAAAACAGTTATTCAAAATGCTTTTCTGAATTAAAATAAGGAATTAAAATAATCGAAAATAATCCAATTACTATGGGCATAGTTGCACATGAATCGCAAATAAAATCTCTCTGTTGTGTCACTAAAAGCATCTCCTGCTTTTAGGATGTTTCTCCAGATGGGAAAAAACAGTTATCTAGTCTCCTCTAAAGATACAGAAGAGACTCCAACTGTGCTCAGATTTGCTGGGATATAAAAGTCTGCAAATGGCCATTCAAAGTGCTTTGCGTAAAAAATACAGTAAGCACAAAATAAAAGCAAGGGAAATGAAAACAAAGGAATTAAAAGAGATAAAGTAAAATTAAAGTAATTAAAAAGACGATACATAGAATAAACTTCTCATCTGGCAAAATGCCGGTGTATCTTATTTTGCTCTCTTACCCAATTCTCAGTGCCATCTGAGTTCAGTTTATAATCAAAAGAAAGAAACAGTGCAGTCAGTCAGACGTACAGCGGAGTTATAAAAAGATCTAAAAGAGATAAACTGGCAAAACACTGGTGTATCATATTTTGTACAGCTGCTTGTTAAACTGTGAGATTATCCCATGCATGTGGATTGTACTGTCTGTGGTGATCTTTCGATGCACCTAAAAAATTTAGCTGATGTGATTTTAATGATCTGAGTGATCTCTTAGGTTTAATGAGCATGTCTGCAATATATTGAGGTCCCAGGGCATTGAGTGACTTATATACCAGTAATAATACTTTAAATTCAATCCTAAATGTAACTGGGACTAGGAGACTTGGGATGTCTGAAGTTTTTCAGATGCAGCAATATACTCTACTCAACGATTATAAAATTTTGGCTTGTAATAGCCTACACATAATTATAATTATGAAAAGAAAGCTGAATCACAAGAAAGGAATTATAACTCACAATAAATTATTGACAACATCATTAGTTTTAAAACGGATCCGTTACAGAATTATTAAAATATTTTGCACAATCATTCTTGTTGGTCTACTTCAAAGCTTGAAATCTAAATGACAAACAATTCTATATTATAAACATCTTCTTAAGCATCTATGCTTAATAAATCCTATCTGTAACCTTGGGAATCTTAATCTCTACAAGTCTCCCGAGGCATGGCTTCTCCTCTATTAAATTTCACACAAAAGAAGACCATTGTTTGACTCATCTGGCAAGTTTGTTATCTTTAATCTGTATGCAGTCGCCGACTTTGTTCCTCAATTCTCATTTTAACCTTTCTCTATTAAATGTGGAAGTACCAATGGCCGATGCTCAGAGACAAACCACAGAAGATTAGGTTAACAGTAGGATATAAACAAGGATATATCTGATTCCTATTGGTATTCATCCTGGCCCTCATTATCTGTCTCTTCTCTGCGCCTCTGAGAGGAAGGTATCTTCCAGACAGGCTGTTGCCTCTCGAGTTTATTGATTTCCACTAAGCCATGTCAATATCTTATCCTCTGTGGCAGGTTTTGGGATTCTTCCAGAGAGCCTGGAATCAGTTCACTGTGGCTATAGAGGTAAACCCTAAAAACTGGGCTGCGTATGAAGGCAGAGCTGTCACCAGTCTACAGATGGACAACATGTTTGCAGCCCTGCAGGATATAAACTCTGCTATAAAGGTTGTTTTGGAGAATGATTTCTTCCTGTATGTTTATTTTTTTTTTTTTTAGCTATGTTATAGTGTATGTATTATATATATTCATATTATGAATATATATTAAGCAAGGATGCATTAAATTGATCAAAAGTGACAGAAAAGATGTTTATAATGATACAAAAATATTATTTATTAATTTATGTTTTACAAAAATGTCTTGGTCATTTTTTCCCCGTTAAATGAAAATTAATTTTGCATTTTTGAGTGAATTATTTCTTTTATTTCTTGGACCTTTTTAGTGTAACCCTCTCGCAGAACAGCTCTTCACAAACCGAGGTCTGATCCAACAGTTCATGGGGGATAAATCTAGTGCCATGAAGGACTACCAGACCGCCATCAGCCTCAACCCAGAATATGCTCTCGCTTACTTCAATGCTGCCAACCTCTTCTTTTACAACGGACAGTTTGAGCAGGTAAAACCCCAGGCAGTTCACTACTGACACTCTATTCTCTTTAGACTCTCCAATCGAGAATTATTTAGTGAGACTGTTTTTTTTCTTCTGGGACACAGGCATGTGAGTTCTACAGCCGAGCTTTTGAGCTGGACCCCTCAGATGAGTCTATCATCCTGAACCGAGCCATCACTCACGCTCTGTTGCGGAAGGTCACAGAATCCCTGCAGGATTTCAATGAGGCTCTCTGCCTTAACCCGCAATCTGCACATGCCTACTTTAACCGAGCCAACCTATACTGCTCTCTCAGACAGTTCCAATCAGCCGAGAGGGACCTTACACAAGGTGAGCTGTAGGAGGTTGAGTTCACTGACACTTTCTATCATATTATAGAAAGTCATACATCATTATGTCCCCTCAAGTCTACTTAATCAACTGATGTACTTCAAGCGAAATTTGAAGATTAACTGGTGTGACATAGTTTTGAACAAAATCAGGGCAAAACAAATTTAGTTTGTAATTGTTTAGTTAGAAAAAACTCGTCAAAGAACTTTCAGAAAAAGTTTACTTTGGCTGGTAAACACCTTCAAACTACCAATTATGTAATAGGTAGGTGTGGCTAAGTGGCTCCACCTTCTTTGACATGGAAACCTTCTCCGGTTAATTTCTTTGGCTCAGTCCATCGATGTCAAATACAAGTAAAAACACAGAACACACTGGAAAGCCACTTTTATAGTACAAATTGTAGTAATTCACATTGAAAGCGACACTGACACTTTTTTCATGTTTTATACTTTAAAGCTGCTTGCTTCAAAGCAATCTATTATATAAATTAACGTGACTTAAATTAAGTGCTCAATTGCAGAGCTTGTGCAGACATATCCACGTGGTCATGTTCATATTCTTCCTTAAATTCTGTCATTTTTGCTGTGTTTTTATTTATTTTTTTGTTATTGAGAGGAAAGCATGCAGCACACATTTACATATTCATCTAAACGCCGCTCTCAGCAGCGTGGGCGATGTCAGGATGTTTGATAACAGTATACTGCTGCTCAGGTATTCCAGACTTCTTTTTACCCCTAAGCGGAGAATGAAAAAGAACTTTGGTGTAAGTATATTGGGGCCTTTATAATGTCAGTCTACTTGCCTTAGCTCCTTTCAAAACGGTAATTCCAGTGGTACTGGTGGATTTCCGCAGGAGATTCGAGCATGTCTTTGCGCAATTACGTTACATCTGTACACATAAAGAAGGAGTCTTGGCTAGTTGGCTATATTGTGCGTGAGGTCGTTGGAGGTGGAGGATTTATAGCCTTTTCTCACAGCACTTGATTTAATTAAAATTATCAATTTAGTGGCGGATCCAGAAAGGTTCAAATGAAAATCTCCAGTGACAACAGATTCACCCGCTGTAAAAAAAAAAAAAAACTTTGTTCGGACTTCGAAGAGGCTACAGAAAAAAAGAGACTGAAATCGGGCCCATGCGAAAACAAGGATATTTATCTGAAGGGCATTAAATGTAGTCACGCAATACTGATGTTAACATTAATAATTTGAGAACAAAGTATAATTTGCACGGTTTGATGTGATATGATAAGTGATCGTTAGATTTAATTAGCGCAATTTACTGCAATGTTTTTTTCTTTAGTTGGTCGGAACAAAAGTGGATGTTGCTTGTTCAGATGACATTTTCTGGTGAAAATTCTTATGTTGGTCATACTTCCAAAAAGTAGAATCTGTGTTTCCGAATGACCGTCCCCACACCGGCGTGGTGACTGACTGCCGCACATTCTCCTCAAAACATTGGATTCATCCGCGTAGTGCCGTGGCACAACTAACGTAAAGTTGATAATTCAGCGAATAACTGCAATTGCAGATTTCGAACAGAGATGACGACAGAGGAAAAACTACGGACTGCAGCTTTAAGTTATCATCTCGGCTCAATCGGGTTCAGTTGTGCTTACCTGTCGAGAATGCAGTGATGGACAGCTGTCTTATGTCATTCGACTGCTGTTTGGATTTTATGATTTCTCATAATGGTGGTGATATTATAATAACTTCGTATCATTAATTAATTTGATTAAAAGTAATTCCATTTTGTAAGATTATTTTCATCCGTAATTCCAAACTTTGTGAGCTCCAATGCACCACACAGTGCATTTAATTATAAATGTGAGTTAGTGTTTGGGATTTATTATGGATTCCCCTACCCTATCTCACGACCAATTCGTAGGAATTCGTACGAGTGATTAAAATGTGGCTAATTCGTACTAATTCGTACGACCTCACTCGTACAAATTCATATGATTTGTCTAAACCCACGTGATGGTTAGGTTTAGGGGCGGGGTCAGGGGTAGGTCATTCGTACGAATTCATACGAATTGGCCAATTCGTAAAATATGTACGATTTAGCAAAATCGTACTAATTTGTACGAGTGAGGTCGTATGAATTGTTACGAATTAGCCACCTCGTAAAATTCGTACGAATTCCTGTGAGATCGGGATGGATTCTCAGCATTTACGGCAAGCAAAGCAACAGTAAAATTCTAATAATATTTTATTTTTCAAATAATAATTACAGATCAAATATTTGAAGAGTTCAGATGCAAAAGCCTCTAAGTGCCATTTGAAATTTTTTTCTAAAATGATCATTTTTATCAAGCTTGTAAATTTTAGTTCAGGAATTTCACTTAAATGGCAATGATAATTACCTATTAAATGTCATTTAAGTGAAATTACTGAACTTAAATAAACAAGCTTGATAAAAATGGTCATTTTAGAAGAAAATTTCAAATGGCATTTAGAGGCTTTTGCATCTGAACTCTTCATTTGTACACACCCCTAGTACTGACACTCTGCTCTGGTGTATCAAATCAAGCACTCGGTGGTAATCACAGCTAAACTGTGATTTGTCATGAGAAGTGAATACAACAAAAGAGCTGTGGTTTGCAGACAGTTATAAGAGTTGATGTTACAAATTCATTTTTTGAATATACTTTGTAAACTAATTGTTCTTATAGCTCAGAGAGGTTTATTTTCCTTCAATACGTTTTATTTATTGGTCTAATTCTGGTTTCTCTTTCTAATAAACCCTGCATTAGGTTAGTTACTCTAATTATCTTGTGCTTCGTTCCCATTTTTCTTTTGCATAAGGAGTTATTACAAACTAAGACTGTTTAGTTGTGCTATTCTATCAATTAATACAGTAGATGTAAGGTGTTGGCGATTATTATTAAATTTAGTATTAAATTTAATTCCATGATTCCTGTCTGTTGTAAGGATGGTCCACTGATGGCAAGTTTGTAGAGAACCGAAGTGCAGTGATTTATGTGCAAACATATAAAACGCATGACATGGCATGAACTCAAAACATAAATGTGGACGCTTACCAACAGTGGTAACAGGAAACAATATTTGACAAAGTCTCATGGCAAACATGAAGGCTTAAATACACAAGGACTAATGACTAGACAAGGGACACCTGTGAACAATGAACCAATGACAACACAGAACACATGGCTGGCTCATGAGAGGCGGCGGACATTTTTGGACAAAACTCTGGCGTGGAGGCGGTCATCTTGGCCGAGTTGTGTGTGCTATCCACACACTCAAAATAGGAGGAGTGCTGTATCTTGCGGCTCCTCCTCAGCAATAGTAAATGAGGAACCGCTAATACCAGGGAATAGTCTATATATTGTGCAAGAGACCAATGAATTTCCCCCCCAGGCAGCTGGGAGCAAACTGGCTCATTCAAAACCAACCTTAAAAATGACCTTGAGGGCCACATCATTAAAGTCCAGCAGGAGAGAGTTTTCACAAAACTTCACCTGTAAAATCTAACATTGTTCTTACTAAGATTTTTTTTGTTAATTTCACTTAATGTCCAATAATATGTTGAGCTTACGTAAATTTTCTTAGTAATCTGTACTGTTTGCATGCTATGCCTTCGTTACTCAGAAAAACCTTGTAAACATTACTTGACTGGTTTGAGTACCATTTTGCCCAAAAATAAAGCCAAAAATAGTAAAACAGAGCAATTAATTTATTCATGCCGCAATGCACTCTGGGAGTACACATTAAGTTGGCAAAACTTAAATGGATTAAGTAAGAATAACTTTATGCAATTAAGTTATAGTAACTTAATGAAATTAAGGTAACAAGTTTGCATAATAAAATTAAGTAAACTGAACTAATTGGTTTTTACAGTGCATAGTCCACTATTGGTGAGGTCTCCTTGACGGAGTCGTAGGAGACAAACTGCTGGGTTCATGGTTGTAGGTCACTGGATGGTCACAGGGATGGTCCACTGAAGGCAAGTTCGTAGAAAACCCAAGTGCAGTTTATTTACAGAACATGATCAAGCATAAATCAAAGGCATGACATGGCATGAACCTCAAACATAAACATGGACATGACGGTTATCAACTCACAAAGACACATGGCAAACATGAGGGCTGAAATACACAAGGACTAATGACTAGACAAGGGACACCTGTGAACAATGAACAAATGACAACACAGAACACATGGCTGGATTACATGACTGACATGAAACAGGAACATGAAACAAAACCAAATCGTGACGCCTGTACTCTGTTATTCTTATTTAATCCTTCCTTGCTGAATGAAATTATTCAATTCTTTTGTATTTATTTTTTTACTGACCCCAAACTTTTAAATGGTAATTCATATTGTTATCAGTGCTTATCTTTTTTTGTTATCAGTGCTTATTATTTTTATCATCTACTCCTTTTCAGGATTTTATTTTCAGTCATTCACATGGCTATTTTGGCAAGGATGTGCAAGCATTTCTGATGAAAAACCAGAGGTTCTTAGAGTCCATTCCTAAATCCCTCTGTCTGCGGCAGAAACAGGTGGGATTTTAGGAAACAGATGGCCCTCGGTATCTGATGAGTGTGTTCTCTGTGAATGGAGTAATCACTTACTATTTCAGCATGCCGTTTCAAACAATCTAATTTAGTTAGCTGTAAATAGACACATTGAACACTTATCCTGTAAGCCCTAAAAATTAGTTTTTATACTTTACCTCACTCGAATCAAGGCTATTGAAGCAAAATAACATCTGTAAAGGTACCAGCCGAGTGATGGTAATTTATGCTAATGAAGATGGCAAATTGCTCGCAAATCGTCCCTCTTGTGTGAACTAAAAAGTATGTCCTCTTCGTTCTCTTTTGCCTGATGTTTTGAATAAAATGTGTGTAGAAAAGAAAAAATCCAAGGCACTCTTCTTCAAAATTATCTAAAAAGCCTTTATTTTTCTGGCTAGTTCATAATAGGAAAGTAAAAGACATGGGGAGAAGCAACCCACGCGTTGCGGCGTAAACAGCCTTCTGAGACTGTAAACACTGTGTGTTGTGCGGTAGCCTAATATTAATGTCATTCTCTTCGTGAGAAGAATAATGCTGAGAGACTGAACAAAGATGTTGTGGTGAAGACGACACAAATAATGGTACACCTCTGTGTAAACAGGAGATGGGTTGATAGAAGCTGAGAGTGTTATTTTGCTCTAACACATCTGTGTGTGTGTGTGTGTGTGTTTCTTGTAGCTCTAATGCTGCAGCCTGGAGATGCTCTTCTCTATAAGCTTCGGGCTGATGTCCGGGGTCGTCTGGGGTGGACGGAGCAGGCGCTCGAGGACTACAGGAAGGCATTGGAACTTCAGGACTCAGGAGTCGTAAACAAAATGAGCTAATGCAACACATTTTTGCCTTAACTTAATTTCATTGCATGCAGTCAGTTAAAAAATTTAAAATAATAGTTTGTGAAACTACATTAAAAAATACTGGCCATATAATGAAGGTGTTGAAATCCATCATCCAGCCAAGTATTGTAATTCTAAACTTAAAACATAATTATTTATTTATTTCTTGTGCTCCAGAGGTATAGTAAATATTTAGTAAAAAGCCAAAAATAATAATGTTTTCGATAATTTTCTGGTATTAAATTAATTTTATGCATTCAAAATATTACTCCATTTAATTAATATTTAAAATGTATTTTTTTGAGTGAATAAAACAGCTATTAGAACTTTAACCTTGGTTATTTTTATGCAGAAACTTGGTAATATTTTGAAATATTGTTACATTTTTTTTTAATTCAGTGTTCAGTGTCACGTGATACTTCAGAATTTGGTGTACAAATATTAATTACTTTTACTTTTATATTAATTAAAAGTATTAATTTATTTCAAAAAATCTTTTGAATGGTATAATTTCATAATGGCATAAATATAGTATTGTTGTCATGATCAGAAATATTAACACCCTTGGAGAAAATTTTCATTTATGAAAGAAATGTTTTTTCTCCAAAACACGTTGGACATAACTATTGGTGCCCTTTTATTTTTTTCAACCTCCTTTTGTCAAGATGACAGCTCTGAGTCTTCTCCTATAATGCCTGATGAGTTTGGAGAACAAGAGATCAGAGATCATTCCTCCATACAAAATCTCCCCAGATCCTTTAGATTCCCAGATCCATGTGTGCGGTGCTTCTCTTCAGTTCACCCGACTCATTTTCTAAAGGTTTCAGTTCAGGGGACTGAGACGGCCATTGCAGAAGCTTCATTTTGACACATTTTTGTGTTGATTTTGATGTTTGTTTTGGATCATTGTCCTGGTGGAAGATCCAACCACGGTCCATTATATAAGATTTCTAGCAGAGGCCGTCGGGTTGATTTTTTTTTTTTATCAGTTGGTATTTGCTAGAATCTATGAGACCATGTATCTGAACAAGATGTCCAGGTCCTCCAGCAAATAAATAAGCCCACAACATTAAAGATCCAGCAGTATATTTAACTGTGGGCATCGGGTTCTCTCTTTTTATCCCTGTTTACCCCACACTCATCTTAAAACCAGGTCCCTTTTGAAGTTCCAGTTGTGTGTCTGACAACTAAATATGCTGTGGTGTGTTTTTGGATGAGCGAGGAGGTTTTTTCTCCAAACAGTTTGAGATGATGTAGGGGACGAAGTTTTTTTTTTCTGACCCCAATACTCATCCAATGTCTGCAATTCTCCATCTGTGATCCTTGGAGAGTCTTTGGCCACTCGAACTCTCCTCCTCGCCGTGCTTTAGGATGATAATGACACACGTCCTCTTCCAGGCAGATTCATAACAGCTTTAGTTTGATTGGAACTTCTTAATTATTGCCCTTGATGGTCGAAATGGGGATTTCTGATGCTTTAGCTATTTTCTTGCAGTCACTTTGCATTTTGTGAAGCTCGGCAATCTTTTGCTGCACATCACAACTATATTATTTGGTTTTATTTATTGTGATGGATGATTAAGGGAATTTGGCCTTCAGTCATGGCTTGACAGTTTCACATTCCTAGTCACAATGGTGTATGATATGAACATTTAAATATGAATTGGAATATACTGACCATGTGCCAATAATTGACCATGACTTAGCTTAACTTAGGTTCTGGACTGCATAAGAGCTGCGTTTCGTTTTGTTTTCTGTCAACTAAAGTACCTGCAGATTCTCATTCATGTCAGTAGCAGATGGTCAGCAGGTTCATGCAGCTCAGAAGTAAACAACCTTCATGGACTTCATGCAGTTCTGGTCTCTGGTCAAACTACATCTACTATAATATGAGTTTTTGGCCTCATTCATGCTCTCGTTCAATCAGAATTCATTTAATCATCAATGGAGTGAAATGCTTTTTGCCCCTCAAGAGTTTGAATCAGAACTTTGACTAAATGATTAGCAGAAGTTTAATACTGAGGATTTAGAACAAACTAACTAGAATTCTACATATTTATTAAGTGACAAACAATGTGAAACAATGAATAATCAGTTGATTTATTAATTCACTGACTATTGTTCAACTAATTAAGGTCCTAACAGCTGGATCTAATGTCTGAAATCCTATTTGAAGCATTCAGGTCACCTAATATGACACTCGGCAGAAACACTGGTCTTAACTAGATAGATAGAAAGAAAACACCTGCTGAATGATCTGGCTCCTCTCCAGTTCAGGAAGAGAGAGATGGAGAGAGGCTCAGAGAGAAGAGTGTGAAGACAGCCATCTGCTCCTCACATGTTGTGCTCTGACTGAGCTCATTACTTTTCAAGGACAACACAAGTGTCCATCTGTGAGGAAAAAAATGAGGTATCACTCAAATTCTCACAAAAGTGTTTCAGAATGTTCTGTTGCTATCGTCCTATTTTCAAGGTGCAAGCATTTTGAAATGGACTGTCTTGAAAAAGGACCAAATTATTTCAGCGTGAAATAGTTATTTGAGTCTGACACGGTCTTCCTTTACGAATGGAATCTAGTTGACTATTAACTTTGCTTTCAAGCGACATCTATGTTTTCTTACAGATCCGACGGACAACAAGTTGTTTGTGTTCCTCATTTGTAAGTCACGTTGGATAAAAGCTTCTGCTAAATTAATAAATCTAAATGATTGCTTACAGCTGATGATTAAATATTGCCAAAATCCATTGAGCTTTGAAAAATGACTGTAATTTAAAGTCACGTCCACCAAATTAGGCGTCTTTAATGCAATGCAAACATTGTTTTTAAGAACTAAAATTAATCATTCGTTATTCATTTATTTTAATTATGCACAAAGACACTCACCAGACACTTTATTTTATTACACCTGTTCAACTGTTCAACTAAGCCAATCACATGCAAGAAACTCACTGCATGTAGACATTTATTCATTTAACTGACGCTTTTGTCCAAAGCAACTTACAATTGCTATATATGTCAGAGGTCGCACAGCTCTTGAGCAACTAGGGGTCAAGTGCCTTGCTCAGGGACACATTGGTATCGCACAGTGGATTCAAACCCGGGTCTCTCACACCAAAGGCATGTGTCTTATCCACTGCACCATCGCCACCAGACATGGTCAAGACGATCTGCTGAAGTTCAAACTGAGCATCAGAACGGGGAAGAAAGGGGATTTAAGTGACTCTAAACGTGGCTGTTGGTGCCACACGGGCTGGTCTGAGTATTTCAGAAACTACTGGTCTAATGGGACTTTCATCCACAACCATCTCTAGGATTTACGGAGAATGCTCTGAAAGAGGAAATATCCTGTGGTTGGCAGTTATGTGGGTGAAAAGGCCGTATTAAGGCCAAAGGAGGAAGACTGGTTCAGAAAGGCAACAATTATATACTTTCAAAACCTGATGATAATGTGGCTGTTGCCTTTCTGTTTCTATGTATTTCTGAGATCTAAACAGATTTCTGTATTTCTCAGTTTTCTTTGTCTAAAAATGGACAAGACTTAGGTTATTGGTTCACCCTGCCAGCTATGTAAAGCTGGGTTTTTAACCTGGGTCTTTAAAAAAAAAAATTGGGGGTGATATTTGATGCTAATTTTAGAACTTTTGATCCTCATATCCAGAATACTGTCAAAACATCTTTAGAAAATTTGCTAGACTAAGTTCTTGTCATTTCCTGTGGCTGAAAAGTGAATTAACACTATTTTCTTGCATTGATTATTGCACCGCTCTACTGGCCGGGCTTTCATAAGCTACTCTAATCAAATTACAGTTTGTTACTCACCACTTACTTATGGAATTTATTCGATAACATTTTTTTTGTATTGTATATTTAATGTATATATTATGTCTTTATGAATCCTTTTATAATGTTGTATTGTTTTCTTTTTTCTTATTTTTGTGAAGCGCCTTGAGATGTAACTTAAGGCGCTATAGAAAACAAAATGTGTTGTTATTATTATTATACCAGTAACTCAACAACCAAGGTCTGCAGAAGAGCATCTCTGAATTCCCAACACATTCAGCCTTCAATCAGATGGACTACAGGAAAGAACAGGAAACTGAGGCTACAAATGCATTGGGTCACCAAAATTGGACAGAAGGAGACTGGAAAAAAAGCTTCCTGGTCTGGTGAGTCTAGATTTCTGATGTGGCATTCAGATAGGTTAGTATTTGGCTTAAATAACATGAAAGCATGGATCCACCCTTACTGTATCAATGGTTCAGGCTGCTGCTGGTGGTGTAATGGTGTCAGGGATACTTTCTTGGCATACTTTGGGCACTTTAGTGCCAATTGAGCACCATTTAAACTCCACAGCCTACCAGAGTATTGTTGCTAACAATGTCCATCCCTTTATGATCACAGTGTGACATCTCCTGAGGGATACTTCCAGCAGGATAACTTGACATGTCACAACGCTTAAATCATCTCAAACTAGTTTCTTGAACATGGCAATGAATTCACTAATCTCAAGTGGCCTCCAAATATAAAAAATTAAAATCGACACTTCACTTCTATGGATTTGCAGTACAGAGGAAAAGATCTAAATATGAATAAAAGTGTCATACACACATTCAGAGTTGATGTTATGTGGATCTGAAATAGTTTTTTCCCCTCTAGTCCCTTGAAAAGCATTAAATTTCACTGCAGCTGGATTGTGTTCGTTAGATTTGGATCCATCACTAGGTGGTGCCAGAAATAAGCACAGATAAGCTTTCTCTTCACACTCAGGTTGCTTTGTTGTTATTTTAAGGCATATTGTCCAATATAGGAAGAGTGTATAAAGAATATGGTAACAATCACAAAATATGCTCATAGGGTTCCCATGGATAACTCCAGACTCAAATACTGAGCCTTTCATTTGTTCAGTGGATTTTATGTAAAACCTCTTGCTTTGTCATATAGGCTGAACAATGTGTTTTATTCAATTTTGGAGGGAAAGGGCATTAAGACGAGCTATGAATTTTAAACAGCTGGTGTGGAAACTAAGCCTTCCTGTTTTTGACACTGTAAACTGAGCATTAACTGCAGTTTATCTGCACTGGGAAAGAAAATTGGGTGGATAAACAATTTTCTCTCCGAAATTGCTTGTAAATTTCGCTAATAATTACAATGTATTGGCAAGTATCATTTAAACATGCCATTTTCTTGTAAGACATAATCCTTTTTTTTTTTTTGAGTGACTGCATGAGCATAGGTTGAGTTTTTAATAAATATTATCCTAAACATAAATATGGTTATTTCCAGGGTGCAGTTACAGTGTTACGTGCCAGGTCTGGAAATCTCCTTATTCTCAGACCAAAACGATTAATTTTACTTTTACGCATTTGAAGATGTCACTAATAGTAATAAAAACGAAGGCAAAAAGAAGAAAAAAAGTTCGTCCCTTTTATACTAATAAACACAAAGCTTTCAAAAATGATTTTTAAATTCAACTTAGACAACAGGAAAGACAAAAGATAGTTCGAATTTTTTTATTTGATAGACCTAATGGAAATCGCTTTTTCTTTTTTTTTCTTTTTTTTATCATTGTGCATTTATTCGGACATTGAAAAGAAGGTCTAAATGTCGTCAGGCAACTATTTCTGTTTCTCAGACACGCTGTCAAACACAACAGCACCCGATGGCGTCATGTTTCACGCGTGACGTCTGTGGATGTGATGCATGTGGATGTGGAGTAACTGTCCATGGTGCTGAAGCCGCCGCAGCGTCGGGATGCGCGTTCCGGAGTCGCGAGGCGTCAATGCGCGCATCTTTTGAGCTCGTGTTTCTATACTTTACATCCATAGCAGACTCAAAACAGTGTCGGAATGCTGCTCAACGACACCTTCAAGAACCTGGAGGATGGTTTATATCTGTTAAACTCCTCCAGCAACGAGACGCATAGCGCGGATTCTCACGGCAGCAGCGCGATCTTCATCTCCTTCATCTATTCCGTGGTGTGTCTGGTGGGACTCTGTGGGAACTCGATGGTGATTTATGTGATCTTTAGGTATGCAAAGATGAAAACTGCGACCAACATCTACATTTTGAACTTGGCGATCGCGGATGAGTTACTCATGTTAAGTGTGCCCTTCTTAGTCACCTCTTCTTTACTTCATCACTGGCCCTTTGGTTCGCTCCTGTGTCGTTTGGTTTTAAGTGTTGATGCCATCAACATGTTCACCAGCATCTATTGTCTCACCGTGTTGAGTATTGACCGCTACATCTCCGTGGTGCATCCCATCAAAGCGGCGCGGTACCGGAGACCCACCATCGCCAAAATGGTCAACTTAGGAGTCTGGATGTTCTCCATCCTGGTCATCCTGCCCATCATCATCTTCTCCACCACTGCACCCAACTCTGACGGATCGGTGGCTTGCAACATGCAGATGCCGGAGCCTGAGCGTCAGTGGATGGCTGTGTTTGTGATCTACGCCTTTCTGATGGGCTTTCTCTTCCCGGTCATTGCAATATGCATGTGCTACATCCTCATCATAGTGAAGATGCGGGTGGTCGCGTTGAAAGCGGGCTGGCAGCAGCGCAAAAAGTCCGAGAGGAAGATCACACTGATGGTGATGATGGTGGTGACAGTGTTCGTGATTTGCTGGATGCCTTTTCACATCGTGCAGCTGGTGAGCGTGTTCGTCCAGCAGCACAATGCCACTCTCAGTCAGCTGGCTGTGATTTTGGGATATGCCAACAGCTGTGCCAACCCCATACTGTACGGATTCCTGTCGGACAACTTCAGACGCTCCTTCCAGCGGATTTTATGCCTCCGATGGTGGGAGAACGCCACGGAGGAGCCCATAGATTACTATGCCACGGCTCTGAAGAGTCGAGGATACAGTGTGGATGACTTTCAGCCGGACAATCTGGAATCGGATAGCACGTACAGGAACGGCACCTGCACATCCAGAACTACGACTATGTAGGATTCTGTATTGCAGCATGGAACTTTTGTTGTTAGGCCTATGTGTTGTCATTTGAATATTTTTATTTTTTTTTGTATTGGTAAGACTTATAAATAACTTTAATTATATACACTATTTGATCATATAATGCTTAGTCAGAAGTGAATGTGCATTTGCTATGAATGCGCATGAAATTTCAGATAAACATTCAGGGGTCGGGAACCGTTTTTGACCAAAGATTTTTTTTTTATCCAGGTTAATGCATTTTTCCAAATATAGCATTTATATATATACTCAGATGGTAACTCCCAGTGAAAGCCCTGCACAATGGATTCCATATTGCAACTTGTTTATTGTTTGTTGCATATTTATTTGTTTTCAGTAATGGACCTAATAAATGTACTATTGAAATGGTGAGTGCGCAAATATGAAAATATACAACAAATATGCAATAAACTATTTGCAATATAGAATTAATTGTGCATGGCTTTCACTGGGTGTTTCCGAGTCTTACAAATCCTCTTCTTCTTCTTGTGAGTGAGTGAGTGAGTGAGTGCTACGTGAATACTCGAATACTCACACAGGTGGGCGTTTTGACACATGCTGTGGGTAGGCTAGGCTACTATTCTTGTCCATGTTCGGCTCGGAGCGCGCGCTGAAATCATCCTGTCAGTTGCAGAAAAGTCTCTTGGCACAGCACCAGTTTCAATAAAATGATATGTTTCAGTCCAGTCACTGATAGCCTATTTATACATTTTCGCTGCGGTTCTAATAGTTTCCACCTTTACCACTAACACGCTTTGCTTGAATCTGAGTGCAGGAGCTCTATATGAGTGTTATTGTGACACTCGGACCCCACTGCACACGCACTGTTGCCTACAACTTCAAAAATATTATTAGCCTATTCTAAAATTTTCTTTTCAATAACTTCGGTAGGTAGCCTACAACATAGGAATTGTAATTGGTTGTTTTTTTTCTGCAGAAAGCTGAATTGATGTGAACTGATCTCTATTGATGTGTCCAATTTTTTTTTAATTGATCATTTATTGGGAAATTGTGGCTCCCATATCGGGTAGGTTCCCGACCGCTGCATATGTTGACTTATGAATGAAAGTTATTAGACAGTATGTCGATATGGAAATAATGTGTGACGTTCAGATAAAAAAAAGGAAAGAAATATCCACAGCCAAATATTTAGATGCTATTTGAAATGGAATAAAACGGAGGGGGATTTAGTGTGCACTCTCAGTGTATTATGTGATCAAACCTGAATTGTATGTTCTGAAGGATATGATAGGCTCGCAAAGCAGGAACAAAACAATGCTATAGTTTTCGGGTTTTATGTTTTGGTTCTGTTGAATGAAATCAGAGCCGCTTTGCTTTGTCATGACACTCAGTCAAAAGTATGCAAATATATGAAGGAAAGTCAGAAGACTAATCAAAATGCAGTATGCAAATATGAAGTTTTGAATCCAGTTCTATCAGTGTTTGGTCAGTGAACGTTTTTCAACATTTAATGCTATTTTGTTGTTGTTGTTAAAGTGTTAAGTTGACCAAAAAAAAGAAAAAAAGAGTAGGCTATACTCTTTCATATATAATAAGATATTCTACAATGAACCTGTGCCATGAAGAGTTCAGATGCAAAAGCCTCTAAATGCCATTTGAAATTTTCTTCTAAAATGACAATTTTCATCAAGCTTTTATATTTAAGTTCAGTAATTTCACTTAAATGACAATTAATAGGTAATCTTCATTGCCATTTAAGTGAAATTACTGAACTTAAATATACAAGCTTGATAAAAATTACATTTTAGAAGAAAATTTCAAATGGCACTTAGAGGCTTTTGCATCTGAACTCTTCATATATAGCCTATATATATATATATGGCACAGGTTCATTGTAGAATATTTTATGTGAAACCATTGTATGAGAAGGTTTGGTAAGTTCACTAAACCTAAATGTTATATGTTTGACTGTAAGCCTGATCCTGACAGTTGGATCTGCAGCCTGTGAGAAACGTTTCCATTGACTGTTGTACTTCTGTTTGTGCCTCTGAAGGGAATATGTCTAATACAAGGCTATGGCTAATCCTTAGTGTAATTCATTTCACCCACAATGTGTGTATTTATTCAATTATGCTTTTGAATTGTGAAATAACAAAACCTCACCATGATCATATTTTTTACAAAAAAGATGATATAGCCTACTAGCCCGTTTCACCTTTTCAAAAAATATTAATTATTATAGCATAGGCTATATATATATATATATATATATATATATATATATATATATATATATATATATATATATATATATATATATATATATATATATATATATATATATATATATATATATATTGTTAAAGGTACACTCAGTACCCTTTCTCTTAAAATCTAAAAACAAGACTAGTAGCCTACTATTTACAAATATATTTAAAATGATCAAAAATGCTAAAAAAGAAGAAAAAAAAAAGGCTATACATTCAAGCCGATTGCCGTATTGGCCACAAACAAAAAATAGCCTACTGTCTGCCTCTGAAATCGCATACTATGTATCTTGAGTAGGCAGGCTACATATTTTGAATAAATAATTAGCCTACTTCGCGACTCCTAACATGATGTTCTCCGTAGTATAGGTGTGTGTAGCCTAGTAGCCTACTGTATTAATGTAATCTGGACGTATTATTCGTCATGTTGTGACCTACCAGTCATTTGTGTCGCTTCACTGCTAATGCATGCTCCATAATCTCGATAGAAGTAGCCTAATAGGTCATCTGGGTACTTTTTAACTACTCTTTTAAGTAGCCTACTGTGAATTCGGAATAATTTTGTCACATAGTAGCCTAATGTTAGGAAAACATTTACATTATGGGCTATAGTATAGAAAACATTATAGGCTATAGTAGGGAAGTATGCAGTTTCGGATGCAACCACTGAGTGCTCCATTAAAGCTGCTGTAAGTGATTTCAGCGCCCCTAGCGGCACTAAATGGATTTTAAAATTTAACCTGACTCACGAACTCACACCTGAGCATGTAGTCACAGAAACAAATGTGATCTTTCAGGACACCTATTTCAGCTAGATCTGTCAGAAATAGTGACATTTACGTGTGGTACTATTAAAAAGACAAAACAAATTACAGCAGCTTAAAGTAACACCGTTTATTTAACTCCTCAGGTAAAAAGCAAAACTTTCATGTAGTGGACCGTATAATATTTAATTAGAAAGCAGATCCAATGACAGTTATCACAATATCTTCAGTAACACTTTACAATAAGGTTCCATTTGTTAACATGACATAACAAATAGGCTACTTTTTTCAAATTGGTTAATGGTAATTTCAACATTTTCTATTAATTAAAATCAAAATATGTATTTTCAATGGACCTGAGTTAACATGTATAACAATTATTATTATTATTATTTTACATTTAAAAAAATGTAATATGGAACAAATATATTGCTCATCTTTTAATGTAAGTTATGTATGTGTGATTAAATGAACAAAGACAACATCAAAACAGGATGAAAAGCCGAACCGGCTAACGTTTTTAATCTTCTTACCACATATATACAATTCTTACATCTCCACAGGTGCATTTAAAAACAATCTAAAGAGTAAACAAAGACAGAGTACGCTTCTCATAAAATCTAATTACCAACTCTGTGGCCTAGGATTAATCCACATCAGCATAAAGACCCTGATTTCAACCGTGAGAGTAAAACAGACGGAATGGCAAAAGACATTTAAAGGCAGTAATTGTACAGCACTCTTGTGACTCTAGACCACACAGTTCTGAGTGAGGAAAATCTTCCGGTAAGCACCTTGATCGGTCTGAAGGTATCACACTGAATTATATTTCACATTTTGCAGTCTTTTCCACTTAAGTTTCCTCTTTTTCATTCACCTTCTCCATGGAGTTGGAACCATTCAGAGCCACAGCCTCCGCCTTCCTCCGGGACAGTTTTGTGGTCCTCCTCCTGATGCAGCCTTTCACGATGGCCGCTACGATCACCAGCAGCACGATGAAAATCAGCAGCGCTATAATCACAGGTACTATGATATTTGAAACGTCTCCAACGCTCTCCTCAATGTGTACATCTGTCTCATTCGTCCTGACATCATCAGGCAGAGACGTAGGTTGAGTCAGCAAAGATTTGCCCCTGTTAACGTTTGAATAATCATTTCTTGTCAGATCAGTGGTGGGCGGCTTTGATCCATCACAATCATCCATGTCATTGTCCGAACATGCACATTTGTAGGAGCCGTCTGTGTTCAGGCATCTGTGTGTGCATGGTTTGGATTCTTCGCATTCGTTTACATCCACACAGTATCCGGATGCATCCCTCCTATAGCCTTTGTTGCACTCCAGGCAGAGTTGCGATGTATCCATGTTTTGGTTGCCTAACACGGTCCAAACTAGATCTTTTGAGCATTTTAATGTGAAATTGGCACCAGAAGCACAATGAACATAACATGTGTCCTTGTCGTTTGAGTAGTCGATTATGTCATGTGTGCCTAATATATCTGGTCGACGGCACGTCACCGTAGCGTTTCGTTTACAAATGAAAGGATGTTCCTGTCTGCAGGTGGTCTCGACAAACCCATTGCATGTTGCAGCAGTTTCACCATATTTCACTGAAAGCAGCCCACAGCGAAGTTCTAAGCAAGTATTTGAAGGTTCTGTCTCCCACAATTTAACATCAGACTGAGTGCTGCTGTCTACCGTCCAGTAGAATCCTTTAAGAGGCAAATCTTTCCTATAACAGTCACCTTTATTCTTCTGTAGTCCAATCCAGAACGACGTAGCAGTTTTGTCATTCTTGTCCCAGATTGTTTTCAGAATCTCTGCCATTTCCTCTTCTTTCGGAATGTTGGCCAGGAAGCTTCCAGGTAGGCAATGACTCTGAGCAGTACTGAATGAGAGTTTGTTCAAATAAACAGTGTAGGATGATTTAGGCAAGCAACATGCCATGTTGAGAAAGCTCATAAGATATAATCCCGTCCAGAACTCCATGTCTAGACCTCCCTGCCTGAATGCTCTCTGGCTGGAACTAAATGACAATGTCTGCTTTTCCCCCTGGCTTTCTTAGCTGCCCTTGTAAGGTCCTCCCAAGACAACAAGCACAGGAAGTCTGTTCAGCCTTGATACAGCCTTTCACTTCCTCCTGGGTGGTGGTGCTGCCGAAGCATAACAATCGCAACTATGAACAAAATCGGTTGCTGGTGAAACTAAAGCTTCCATAATACACAATCCCACATCCAGACTCCCACAGCAGAGTGATAGATGAGCTCAGGCCAACAGGAAAAATCTATGTTTCTTGGCACAGGTCTGTTACACTGTTCATTCATCCACACCCATCACCTTCTTGATGGTTTGAGGTTCACAACTATCTAGCCTAGCAGGCTGTTTGTGCCGCATAAAGATAAGTGTAACATTGAACAAGGACTTTTCCTATTTATTTAACTTGTTTATTGTGTCTGTAATCCTTTGACAAAACTACTCTGGGGAGAAAAAAATTCCCGGAAGCATGGCTCATTGCATTGGGGAATGCTCTTTACAGTAGTACTATACCTTTGTTTACATGTCACACTCAACACTGTCCGACTCAAATGTGTGTTGATTGACCTCAGCGTGTGTTTTCAAGAACTCACATGGGACTAATGCGGTGTTGAGTGTCCCATGACTAACACAGTATTATTCTCTCCTTCCAACAGGCCGCTTCATGAAAGACCAGCAGATGCTTCCTGGAGGAAATGTCAATGAATGGCAGGAAGTGAGGTTGCAGGAGCACTTGATTCTGTTCTACAATCTGAAATGGCAGAGAGGTGGGGAATAAGGACAGGAAATGGAATTATGGGTAACAGGAAAACCAGTATGCGAAGACAGAGCAAAAAACAAGAAGTTGAAATAAAGGTGGAAGACAATACAGGTGTTTTGGAGAGCTCTGCTGTTTTGTGAGCCAACAATTAACAATCAAAGTGTTAGAGTTTAAGTGAATATTTTTACTGGTTATTCCTCCTACCAACCACCTACAGTATAAAAAAAAACTAGCAACGCCTAACAACAGCATAGCAATGAGCATTAGACCAAAGGCAAAAATGAGTAAAGACATTTTGAGTCATTACAATCACTTGTAATGTGACATAATTGCTCATTACCTTTGACCCATACATTTGACCAAAATGTCAAATCGTTTTTGAGATACAGCTTTAGATCCAGTTTGGCATTATGCCAGTTTTGTCAATCGACACTAAATCCATAATTATTTTCCAACATGGACTGAAAATCATCTATTATAATCAGTTTCATTACAATAGACATGGTGCATGAGATCAGTCTCATGATTTTTGGTCAAAACCGTTAAAAAAAAACATTAAAAAAACATTTTTATATCTTCTGACCACTAAGTGGCACTGTGGCGAAATTGTGCAGATACCCTTATGCTATAGTAGTTGTCATAACATGCACCATGATTGGTCAGAATATACGTTGCAAAGATATAGACCTTATGCACCAGAGAAACGTGGGCGTCGTCATCTTTAGAATATTGTCTTTGAACTTCCGTTTTTGCGGTCGCTCTGTAGGCTATATTTCTATGGCATCGCTGTCGAGGAGCTAGTTAAGTGGATTAACTTATTGCAGAGTTAACAAAAGTTATCATGAGCATTGTAATGTTTATCATAAGCATTGTAAAGCAGATGTCTTAACAAATGTCGACCGGGAATTTTTTTCATTCATACCTCTGCAAGATCGCTGTCAAAATACAGACCGTAAGTCAAAAGACAACGAGTGCAACGCTGAAAAGGGGCGTGGCTACATAAGGTCTAAAGCCTCATGTCTATTTGGCGTTTAATTCGTTTGAGTGTTATTCGAAAACAGTTTGATGAATCAACTTGAATTCCATGTTTTGTTTTGTTTTTTTGGCAGCAGCATGGTCTGAAGATGATCCAATTACATTTTTGTGGAAATTGGAACAACGATTTTGGAAGGGTTGGCAAAAGTAGTTTTTTAAAAGAAAAACTCAATAGCGGACAAAAGTTCGCTAGAGTTCAGCTAGAGTAAAGTTCGAAAGTTCAGCCGACTATGCCAAAATTAGAATACAGTATGTTCTCAGAAAATATATCAAGACCAGTTTCAGTAAGTTTTTTTTTTTCATTACCCAAAACAAAAATGATCGGTATAACACTAATTCGATAGTCCACTTTAGACTTCCTACTAACTATAAGTAACTTTGCAACTACATGTCAACTAACTCTCATTAGAGTATTAGTAGACTGTCAGCTTAATACCTGCTAACATTTTATTTTGATGTTCCCCAACAGACACTGACTGTAAGTAACTTGGCAACTACAAGTCAACTTATTCTACTAACTCCTAACCATAACCTAACATTACTACAGTCTACTAATACTCTAATGATAGTTAGTTAGACATGTAGTTGCAAAGTTACTTATAGTTTGTAGAATGTCTAAAGTGGACTATCGAAATAAAGTGGAACCCGAAAGGGTTTTGAGTATCAGGTAATCTGGCCGAAGACACATATCTATTTCTGTAATGATACCCTAATGCGTTCGTAAAAAAATATAGCATTCTACGTCAAAGTTCAAAATGGCCGACGCTCAAATTGGCCAAACTTGGAAAAATTTGATATCGTCTAACTAGGTAAATAGGCCTGCCACCTCAAAGAGACCAGTTTTGTAATTTTCTGTCAAATTGGCAAGACTTTATAAGCAAAAACTAAATTTTTCATATCTCCTGACCACTAGTAGGCACAGTGGCAAAAGGTACTGCATGTACCCTCAAGTCATGCTTGTGATAACACGTGTCAAGTTTGTTCTGAATACGCTGAAGCATTGCGGCCATACTGACTCACATCCATTTTGGAATGCTCTACGTCCAATTCGTTCACACATTATTTGATAACGGTTTGACAAAACAACTACATGTTTTTTTGTCGCTAAGAACTTTTACATTTTTGTGAAAATCGGATGTTCAAGGGGGAGTTGGAAAAAGCACGTTTTTTTTGTTGTTGTTGTTTTTAAGAAAATTCAAACTGGTGGTATATTTTTCATGCCAGTTGGTGGACTAGAGGGATTGAGAATCCAAATTTGATGTGGTAAACATCTGTGTGCCTGTTCTTTACTGTTCTTCCTAGATGGTGTATGTGTGTATTTATAAAGACATTAATTTTACATTCTCTAGTACTGAATTCCTCCTACGGCAAATCTTGAAGGAAGACAGCTAGTGAGTCATGATTTAATTAAAAGTGGGTTTGAAAGATACAGCCCATGGCAGTATTGAATGCCAAGAAACGCTAAACTGTTTAAACTTAAAAAAGCTAGCTTACTTCATCAGCTCCAGACAGCTTACATCACAACCTCCCTGCAGACATGAACAACTTAGTTATTGCCAGTTAGCGCTGGTCTGATTGGTGGATTGGTGAGGTTAGTCACCAGGTTTTTTGAATATTCCTTTTCATGCAGTGTGTAATATAGCTGTTTCGTGAATGTAAACGTTCGCAAAGTTGTAAAGTCAAAAGTGCACGATAAATAAAGTTATTGTCTCCCAAAAGAAAGGATCGACTCTGAACTGCCTTACGAGTCGTTTTTTTTATTCGAATACTACTGCTTTACGGTTCTACGTCACTAGAAGAAACACGTGCATAATGCCCAATTGACCTATGGCTAAGCCACGCCCCCTCCACTCACTACTAGACAAACAGTCAACATTCGGGGACAGGCGCTGATGGCAGCGGTCACAGTAGGAGACATTTCACACTCACAGGAGGCAATTGGTGATTTTTGGAGACAGAAAGATTATACTGTATCATCTTGCATTGGAGGGTTATATTAATAATTTTATTGTTGAGAAGGTCGATGAAAAGCTTCAGCTCCAGGCAAAAATGTACAGGTCACAGTGTAAACGTGATAAACCGCATATCGTTGCCATCACTGTTTGGTGCAACAGTATTTACATGAATCATTCAGCACAACATTGCAAACATTTGTTATCTCGGTTATTTACAGATACATTAATGAAGCTAAGTGACATGATGTACAACACAGCTAGAAGCTAACGTTAACGTTTTCTAATGTTAGGCTAACGTTAGCCTAATGTTACATTAGAGATTTTAAAGGTAACCATCAAATACGCTGTTGACTTAACTTAGAACAGATGTAGACATCCTTGTTTGATTTCTCCACGTTTAGTTGGTGTTGTGGTCTATTATCATAACTCAATCCAGAGTAGACACTTATCTGGCTGAGATGTGAGGCTTGGAAAAGGTTAAAAAAAATACAAACTATCGCAAGCCTCTCAGGAACCTAGTGTCGGAGTTGCATGTACCCCATGCACACCGTTTTAAACTTAAAATGACAAGAAAACAAATAAAAATCGACTAACTGCAATGCATTTCAATGGACGTGGAAGCAGAGAACGTCCGAGTGTATTGAGTTAGCTGCACACTGTGATTGGCTCATCGCGTTTGAGGGAGTGGCTTAATAGGTCAATTATATTGTACATTGTCTGCCCGCGAACAACAGCCCACAATCACGTCATTTTACTGACGACTTCTTTTAAAATCTCGGAGTTCAACAGTCAGTACCTATGTCAGTACCCAGTTTATTTGGACGATCTTGCCCCTCAGAACCAAAACCTGTAAGTTAAGTATGAATAATTACTGAAGTTTATATTTTCTACCAGGTGTTCAAAATACTTAATTTTGTGTCATATTGTGTATGTTTCCGGCTAACCGTCTAATTCACGTTATTGTCTTACTAAAATATAGCAGTGTGGGCCATTATTACCTGTGTCTATCAATGTAGATTGTCTGTCATTCTTACTACTTTTTTAATGATTCAGGATGGCGCATGATTTGTTTTACAAACGTTTTGTTACATCAGTCATTCACTTCACATTAGATTCAGTTAATACAGTTCCAGCATATGTTCTGCTATAAATTAAATATATATATACATCGGTTTGATGATTGACTTGTTTTAATGCTGTACCTCAAATTGAGTAGGCTATAACTGAGAAACATCCTGCTCGAGACATTCTTGCATGCAGGTTCGGTTTGAATATAGCTTGCGCTGGCATTGA